CCCCCCCCCCCCCCCTGTAAAATCAAATGAATAATACTGGGGAAATCCCCTGAAATGCGCCTGAGGTTCATCAACTTTTTTTTATTGTGAATATTTTAAAATGTAGTGTAATTGCATCGCAATTCTTTTTTAAAAAAAAAAGAAAGAAATCACCACTAATCACACAACTGTTGAAAGAAGTGTTCTTGCCACTTTTCCTATATTCACCATGGGCCATTCAGAAATGAAAATGTTGAGAATAATAAGCAGCAGAATTTTAATGTTGCTGTAACAATTTGGTGCTGTACTACTATACTTTGATTTTCTTGGGGTTGTGGGTGGGGGGAGAGTAATAAAAGGGTTTAAAAATCTATCAGGCGATCTGTATCTTGAAGGAAAAGAAACATTTTTGATTGATAGGTTTTACAAAGTAAAAATAAAGATAAAATAAAATCTGAAACTTTTTAAAGTATGTCCCCAAAGGACAAAATTGGGGATAAAATAGTTTAAAGCGTGATAGTTAACATACTGTAGTCACGACTTAATCCTTCCAGGTATGTATATTTGTAAGCACTCTAAAGTTTGTAGTGTGACTGCTTATCAATGTGATCTCTTATCTAAATGTTTCCATTTTACTCTTTTTCTCTTAGTTTCCCAAACAAGTCTTATTTAATTTCTTAAAAGCAAGTTCCTGAAATTCTTCAGAAGTTCACAACAGCCTCGATTTTATAACTTTTTAAAATAGTGAGCGGTTTGGTGAGTTGTCAGAGATTTGAGATTTTGTAAGAGGAGCATTTCCTTCCCCTTGGCTCTGGATCAGACTCCCCAGAGGGGAAGCAGCCCACAGGAAACCTGTGTGAGTGTTGGCTTTGTTATGTGGCCGTTTGGAAGCCTCTTTCTGCAGGAAGTAGCTTCTTTCCAGAGCTAAACAATCACCTAAGGCTCCCCGCCCCTCCTCGGCTTACATGGCTTATGGCAATATTACAAAGCAGACAGGGAGAGAGCCACAGTGTCCATTTCCCAGCAATTTTCTGTATTTGTAGAAATTAAGAGCAAATTTGAATGCGGGCTCCCTTAAGCTTTTCTGAAAATACTAGAGTCCCGGTGCATGAAATTCGTGCACTCGGTGGAGGGAGAGGCCCTCAGCCCAGCCTGCGCCCTCTCACAGTCCAGGAGCACTTGGGGGGGGATGTCCAACTGCCACAGAAGCGGGAGAGGCTCCCACCACCGCCACTGCACTCGCCAGCCATGAGCCCGACTTCTGGCTGAGCAGCGCTCCCCCTGCGGGAGTGCACAGACCACCAGGGGGCAGCTCCTGCATTGAGCGTCTGCCCCCTGGTGGTCAGTGCGCATCATAGCGACTAGTCACCCCCCACCCCCGTTCAGTCGATTTGCATATTAGCCTTTTATTATTTAGGATAATGACTATGCCCAGGGAAGAATATTTTAATGAGAATAGAATAAAGAGGAGAACAGGTAGGCTTTCACCTTGAGGGGAAAAAATGAATTATGAAACTATGGGGTCTGTGACTTAAAGTTACTAGGATAGTTGTAAGGTTACTTATTCCACATCCTCTTTCTGCCAGAAAAGGAAAACTGGCTGGTACCTAATTTCAAGAACGTTTCGATCAAAGGTGGAACTCAAAATCTCCTAAAGGAAGAGGTTTCAAGTGTTTTTGAAACATATGTATCCCATCCCCATCCTTGGGTGAAGCAATTACAGTGTAGTGTCAGAAAGAAAGAGAATAACACCATCTTTACAGGTAAAGTCAGCCAATAAAAAACAAACAAAACCAAAAACATTAGAGATCAAAGGCTGAACTACCACTAAATTCCACTAGAGTCGAATTATTTTATATTTCAATTGTGCATATACTTGTTATTTGAACATCAATGCATCTTAAAGATTTTGGCTACTCAATGATTTTAGCTCTCAAGAAATCACAGCCACTATACCCAATGCAATCATTTGCACATAGTAGGCATTGCCAAACATTGTTGTTCCAATTTATACTTTGTACCTTTTCTTAAAATATATATTTTTTTATTTCAGAGAGGAAGGGGAGAGGGATAGAAACATCAATGATGAGAGAGAATCATTGATTGCCTCCTGCATGCCCCTCATTGGGGATTGAGCCCACAACCCAGGCATGTGCCCTGACCAGTAATCAAACCATGACCTCCTGGTTCATAGGTCAACACTCAACCACTGAGCCACACTGGCCTGGCACTTTGTACCTTTTTAAGTATGCAATCTTTTCATATGCTTTCAATCAGATTACAAAGGAAATGAAGACATGAGCCAATACATCTAGGATAGTAATTAAGTGAACGTTTCCATCAATAGAGGGATCTCCTCCATCACAAAGACTCTAGCTCCTTTTAACACCATCCTCTAAATCTATGAGCTAAATTCTTACACATGAGAATCTATAACCAATTGTTAAAACAAAACTAAACTAGATAATGCTCTCTTCTTCATGTGGAGTAACCAGTATCCAGTCCCTGTGTCCTACCAGACTATTCTGAAATGACAACCTGCATGCAACTGATGTACTGAATCTTTAGAAAATTGTAGTTCAAGTCAAAGATAGCCTATCCCTTGAATATGTTTCCCTAATAGATGCCCACCACAGGAAGGTAGAGATATAATAGTAAGGATGGAAGTACAGCATACCACTCAAAATGGTAAGCTCTGAAGCCAGACAGCCTGGTTCTTATACTGGCTCTGCCATTATTGTGTGACCTTGAGCAAGTTACTCAACCTCTCTGTGCCTCAATTATCACAAAAGGAATAAAAGACATAACAGAGGTATTAGGATTTTTTTGGGGGGGGGAATAAATTAATACATATAGTTCTTAGAACAGTGCCTTACAGTGGTAGGTGGTAGGTACATCATAGCTATTATTATTAAAAATAGGGTCTCTTCACTTACACACACCTTTAAAAGGGAATTAAAATATCACTAAAAGATAAAGACTATAACAAAGAAAAATATAATTCCAAGAATAGCCTCGAAATGGAGTAGGGTGTGATGGAGTATGTGTACTGGCCTTATAGTTATCATGAGTATTGATAATTGATAAATATATACACACGGAGTTATAATAGTGGGATATTCACTTGGGAGAGGAAATATCAGTTGTGCATGAGTGATTATAGAAAAATCAATAACCAACTAAAAAAAAATTTTCAGTTTTATGAGACTTAATAATTTCCCCTTTTTCCCATGTACCAGAATCCGAAAGTACATCTCCTCCGCGTCGCTTTCCTTGACTCCAAGGGGAGCTCCTTGCTCCATCTTCAACCCATCTCCAGAAATGTGTTAACATTTCTAGAACACAACTTCCACCATTGGATAACAATTTATCCGTTTCGTTTTATGAGACTTAATAATTTCCCCTTTTTCCCATGTACCAGAATCCAAAAGTACATCTCCTCCGTGTCGCTTTCCTTGACTCTCCAAGGGGAGCTCCTTGCTCCATCTTTAACCCATCTCCAGAAATGTGTTAACATTTCTAGAACACAACTTCCACCATTGGATAACAATTTATCTTAGGTTCCCAATCTCACTGTGCTGTTGGCTGATTGTATCTTGTGTTGTGGCTTTAAATATTACTTAGACACAGATGACTCCCAAATATGTACTTTGCCCCCAATAACCTCCTGAGACCCAGACTCAGATATCCAACTGTCCACTTGGATATCTAACAGGCATCTCAAACTTAACCTGACCCAAACAGAACTTTTTGTTTCCCCCAATCTACTTCCCCCGCAGGCTTCCCCATAGAAATACATGAACCCAGTTGCTCAGAACAAAAAAGCTGGTACTCTCCTTAAATTCTTTCTTCCTTTGACCATGCCTTCCTTCCTCTCCATCCAACCTCTGCCAATACCTTAACATTCAAAATATATCTCAAACCTGACTACTTCTCCCCGCTAGGACTAAAATTTGGGGGCAGTAGAATGATGGTAGAAAGGGTCACTCATGCCTTTTATAGGTGTACCTAAGAAATATGTCTGGGCCCTGCTCCCCACTCCCTTCAGGATGGCTCAACATGCCCTAACAACCAGAGCTTTCACAGCTTACCATGAACAACCACATTTCTTCTCCCATTCTATCTTTATCCTGTCTATAGCTTTGACTTTTGTAGCAGACCCATCCCTGAGAAAGTACTAGCAAATAATATTTCACAAGACATGACAAAAGGATAGCACGTTCATTTTGAGTTTAGTCAGAGTGCATGTTGAGTTAGACTGTGACTGTGGTTTGTATGTTTATGTGTGTGGGTGTGTGAAATAAGCCCATTCAGCTGAAATCTGGAAAAGATGTACCTCATGCACCATTTCCATCACTCTCAGAGTAGTAGGCATTGCCAAACATTGTTGTTCCAATTTATACTTTGTACCTTTTCTTAAAATACATTTTTTTTTATTTCAGAGAGGAAGGGGAGAGGGATAGAAACATCAATGATGAGAGAGAATCATTGCTTGCCTCCTGCATGCCCCTCATTGGGGATTGAGCCCACAACCCAGGCATGTGCCCTGACCAGTAATCAAACCATGACCTCCTGGTTCATAGGTCAACACTCAACCACTGAACCACACTGGCC